GCACAGGATGACAAGGTTGCAAAATTTACTTTTGGGTCATCTTCGGTTATATCACTCACCACAAGCAGAACCAGATAAAGTTCAACAATGTTTGTTTAAGAATTAACAATAACATACCCTTGGTGTAAAGACACTGTGATTTGGGGGCACCCAATTCTCTAGTCTTTCGTATGCAACTTGTAAAGAAATACCAATTTTCAATGTACAAGCAATATATGAGACTCAGTGCATGTAGTTTATTTGAAGTCATAACACCTGTGAAGTACGGAAGCATCCCTTGTGAAACTAGAATAGAGACACTGAATTATACACTCCAACTTGCACAGGAAATAACACTATCACTAGGTATTCCAACGCTACCGTGAAAACGTCCTACCGCATGGCGGTCGGAGAATTTGTTACCATATTTACAACTTCGTAGCGCCAAAATAAATCCATTAAAATAGGCATGTTATACATCAAAATGAAGCAAATAAACTTGTTTATCCAGTGTTGCATGTCCTGGGTTCCTACGATCCCGAAAACTCCAGAAATTTGCCGATAAAAACGGCTCCGAGTTAGCCGGACGTGCGTCTCGCCGAGCGCGGGCGCCGGGGGGAAACCCCGATCTCACGGCGCTTGCGCCTCGCCGTCCTTGGCGCCAGTAGAGTAAAGCTAGCACCATATTCAAGAGCAGATTACGAGCTTTAAAATGATACTAGTGACAAGTATATAGTAACAGAATTCGGGGCCAAAAATGGTGATTAAAAATTTTGGAAATTCTCATTTTGAAAAATCAGCGCACAATCTTTGGCCTTTATATTTGTCACCGATGTCAAACTGATCGCAGAAAACAGGGCTTTCTGATGATGTAATCGGTTTCTTCTTCGAATGTACGTCCGCGAATCGCGAGCTCGGATTCTCGAGCTACGCAAGGCCGGTTTGTTTACGTTTGTTTACTGACGTCGCCGCGCGTCACAGGGGCGCGCGAAAATTCAAGTCTCGGGCCTCTGTCAGCGCGCCGCTTGCTCACTGAGCCGGCGCAAATGAAAGGTTTT